GAGAAAGAATACGAGGAAGTGGAAAGAAGTGTGGCTAAGAAAGCGAGGAAAGAGTGGATGAGAAGAACAAGGCTGCTAGAGTGGAAGACGCAGCTAAAAGAGGAGAATTGGAAATGTGTTAAAAGGTACAAATATTGAAGATAAATAGAAAAGAATGTCTTGATTAAAATAGAGTGAAAGAGAAAATATTAATAATTAAAATAAACAGATGCAATGCTCAGAAAAATAATACAATAATATTAAGGGACACAAACGAAGTCTGAAGAGTAAACATTATATGAAGTTAAATATGGTCGGCAAGAAAATAATGATTAATGCGGTATTTTAACAAAACATAGGAATATGATACGACTTTGGTTCTCTAATGCAGCGTACACATTCAATAAGCCAGGATGAGGGGTAAGGTTATGGAGGATTAGAAGACAGAAATAATAAAAAAAAGTCTCTCGATCCCCTGTATTTTTAAGAGAAAAAAGTAACAGCAAAGTAATGACGAAACAGTGGTTGAAAGAGAAAGTACAAATTGAAATGAAGAAAAACAAAAAGAGCCTAAGTGAAAGGAAAGAGAAAACATTGACTGAATAGGAAACAGGATGATGTGAGAGATTCAAAACCAGCAGCAAACATATAGTGAAAGCTTGGAAAAAAGGGATTGCATTTTTTACATGGATCTGGTAGAAACAAATGTGACAAAACGAAATGAAAAACAAAATTAGAGGAGGAGTAATCACGTGAAGCGTCAATCCAGACAAAAATCAAGTAACCAAAAGTACATAAAAAGGTGCAAGAAAGGGAGTGGGGAAGACGCCGACTACAAGAGGCAGTAACTAACATTGTGGGGGACGGTTGCGTATCATAGAGCGGTATTACGTGGGGCATCAACCAAGAAAGTCTAAAGACATCGAGAAAGGTAGAAAAACTGGGAATGTGACAAAGATGCAGATCAAAAGAGACAGCAAATATCGAAGTGGAGCACGGATCTGCATTAATGCGGCGGGGGCAGCAGCAGTGGCAGGCACGGGGGCGAGCGTGGGCGGTGC